TATATATATAATTTCTTTGTGAAGACAACTGAATACAAACTGTGACATAATATAACCGTTATGTTTTCTATCTGCGTCGCCTTGTGCAAATGTTATAAAACACAAAAGCAGAATAACTCCAATCACCCATTGGGTGCCAAATGAGAGCGCTTTATTTCCTATATTCAATCACCTCATTGTTTCCGTGTGGGAACCCTTACATCAATATTCTTCAAGCATATATTGCATAATTATCATCTGTCATTACAGCTCGCTAAATAGGGGTGCAGAAGTGGCGATTAGGTGTAATATTATCAGGAGAAGAGACCATGAACTACAGATGGGAGTTTGAGCATGCCGATCATAACACACATGCATAACTGCCTGGGAAAGGGCTGAGTGTGATGTTAAATTAACGTTTTAGGATTACATCACAAACTTTTACATCATACTTCACAGTGATGATTGTGGGGTTTTTTTTGTCTTACAGAAACTCTCTTTGAATTTTTAGACTCCAAATAATTAGTCTTTTTGTTCATATTAATAAAAGCATTGTGGCTTGCAAGTATCTGAGGATGTTGGTCTGTGGGATTGTAAGCGGCTTATGAACACACTGAAATGTGTCCAGGGAGGAAGTTCGAAATGAAGAAAATTGAGTTTTCAACAAAAACATTGGTCTTTTTTAGCAAAGAAAACACTGAGAAAATGATTTGAGAAACAGATTTTTTTTTTTAAATAAGAAAAACACATTCAACAACCCTCAGCACACAGGATGTTAAGACGTTTTTTAAAAGTAATTTATTTCTAAACGTGTGAAATAATGTGAATTACACAGACAAAATGCATGATATATGAATGTGCTTAATAGTCTGATCGCCATATAGTATGTTTCAATCCCTAGCTTTGCCAAATAGTAACCTTAGAGGAATAAGTCCTGCACACACACACACACACACACACATGCACATGCACACCTGGACAACCCGAGCCTTTCACCGGCAGTCGTGGTGAGGAGCAGGTACTGACAGACTCAAACACCTGCTATTGGAAAGTATGTTCTCCCTCAGTGATCCTGGGTTTTACAGGACTGGGAGGCTATTGTTCTGTCCCGGTGCTGACAGCCAAGGTATTTCTGGACTCCTAGAGCACATACAAAAAAAAAAACACAAAAAAACAATGGCCAATTCATGTAAGTTAGTAGCCTATAGGAAAAAATAGCTTTACTATTTCAACTCACTTTCCAGCTTTGAAAACAGTGTGTTTCTATCATTTTTATAGTATAATGTGAACCAACGTGTTATTTGAATTAGAAAATGTCTGAATTCCTTTTTAATATCCTTATCTGAGGGTCAAGCTTGCCTTTTGAAGACATCTAAAGATCCGTTAACACCCCGCAGTGACATTCACCTGTGACACAGCGCTGGCTGGCCAAGAATGCAGTGCACCTGTAAACCTGAGTTACTCTGATCTCTATCTTCAGCATCAATCATCACTGGAATCTTTGATATATAACACTTTTTACGTGTATTAAATGAGCAAAGTATAAATCACATTAGTAATGACAAACATCCATCTCTTGGTTGATTTACTGACTGATACAATTGAACACTACTATTCAAAGGTATTTTATGCTCACCAAGACTGCAAAAATACAGTAAAATGGACAATTATTTAAGACAATTGTTTTCTATTGTAATATATTTGAATATATACTTTATTCCTGGGATGGCAAAGCTGAATTTTCAGCATCATTACTCCAGTCTTCAGTGTCACATGATCCTTCAGAAATCATCAAGTGATCAAGAAACATTTCTGATTATTAGCAATGTATCAAGCAGTTGTGCTACTTAATATTGAATTTATTTCTTTTTTAGGATTCATTGATGAATAGAAGGTTCAAAAGGACAGCATTTATTTAAAACAAATATTTTGATCGATATAATACAGAATAACAACTTCTTTCAAAACCCCCAAACTTTCAAACTGTAGAAATTCTTCAGTCAAATAATATCGATAGGCGTTTTAATCACATTCATTTGCTGTTTTGGATCCCTGATATGCAGACTTGGGAAAGTCTAGAAAATGACCAGTGAGGCCCGTCTTAAGCAGGAGGGGAATTTGCAAAGTCACCTGGGCTACAAACCGCCGCAAGGCACCTCTGAGCTCCGGGGCCACCCCGCTCGGGTCCCCAGCTCTGATCCCCAACGCCGACCCCGCTCAAAATCATCCCCATTAGCTTACTGCTGAGGAATTCTCGGTCAAGTGAATGGCACGGTGGCTAACAAAGCCCTGTTTCAAGGAAGATTACAACTTCAACAGGAAACCCTTTGATGAGTGAGACTGTTTGAAAATGTTATTAATATCACCATCACCCCTTGGGGTCAACAAAAACCATTTCTAATCACCCTATACCTGTGGCTATGGATTCTCTTGTGTTATTGTGTGTATGTGTGTGTGTGTGTGTGTGTGTGAGAGAGAGAGAGAGAGAGAGAGAGAGAGAGAGAGAGAGAGAGAGAGAGAGAGAGAGAGAGAGAGAGAGAGAGAGAGAGAGAGAGAGAGAGAGAGAGAGAGTGAGAGCGAGCACGAGAGAAAAAAAGGGAGAATTATCTTACTGTCAGAGAATAGAGGGGATACTTGTTTAACATGGACCGCGCTCAACAGCACGTGCGATGACAAAGCGATTTTGCTCCTTACAACGGTCACCCACCTGCACTCAGATTAGGTCAGATATTTGTTTCTGAGGCCAAGCTGTCCCTCAAATTAGATGATGAAAAAAGCTCATTGTGGATAACATTCTTTCTCGGCTGAAGTGGAAAAAAGTGTGGGGGGGGGGGGGGGGATGTAATACCTCATTATGCTGCTGTGGGAGGATCAATGGTGCGGTTTTAGAGACTTTAATTCCTGAATCTTTTTGGTTACATTAATTACATTTTTTTTTTTTTTGACAAAATTACCACCAGTATTTTTAAGACATCCGGGGGCCAAAATGATTTATGTCTGCCTGTATATTTAGTGCAAAAACTACAATATTTGAGGGAATAGAAAAAGCCAAATAAGGCATGATCATGTGACTGAAATGGCATGCAAATATTTTAACTAGATTTTGAAACACCTTACATTTTTTAACATGTCACAAATTTCAAGACAATTCAGTCCAACGTTCAATTTGTACACTTGGAGATGATTGTAGAATGTGCTCAGAGGCATCCTGTATTTGCAGTTTAAATATTTACTTCCAGTAAATAAACACATTATAAATGAACACATCTGTGGATTTTCAAACAGACCACTTTGCATACATTGGTTTAGTTCCAAATATATAGGCCTACAATTCTGTGCAGGTTTTTTTTGAGTTGGCTTTGTGATTGATAATGCCTCGGTCATGTTCTTCGTATAGTGAATTGGTTAGCTGAGTTCTTTAAAGCACCAGTACATAGGCCTACTTAGAGAACTAGAGAATTAAAAAAAAAAAGTTTGTTGAGGAACCAAGTTTCTAATATTGCATTGCATCCAGCTGAAACGTTTCGTCGACTGTCATAAAATTGTTATGTGCTGCAATCAGCATACAAACATATAATATATATAATACGTTTTTCTACATCATATTATAGAGACTATTATATAATTTATGGCTATAGAGTAGCCTTTGTGAACACGGTTGTTGTTTACCGAGTAATGTGAACGGACGTCTTCTGTTTTCGGCTACTTGTTAATTTAGGCGATGGCGCCCTCTGCTGTTAGATTTGTATTAAAGCAGCTTGAAACTTTCCAGCTGAAGGAGGCAGATGGGTTATTTTGACTTCATTCTGAGTTTGATGATTACACTTTATTTCGTTTAATTAAGAGTTTAGAATTTTGAAAATGCAAATATTAGGTTAACCAGGCCAGTTCTTATTTGTGTTTCATCATAAATGTATCATTTAATTTATATATCTCATTGTGTAACATTTTAGCTACTCTCCACCAATGATATGCAACAAAAATGATAATACAACGATAAGGATAATACAATAAACACATGTAACTGTAGTAGCCTATGTATACGTGGGGGGAAGATCTGTGGCCGGTTGCATAAACTGCTAAAACTAGTCTTACAAGTTAGTCTTCAATTGTTTTTCTTTAAGATGCTCATAACTTTTTAAGTCAGTTATATAAAAAACACAGATTGGTCTAATTTGAATATGTATATAATAAGACTGATTGCCCCCTGGTTAACTGCTAGTTGACAAGTTATTAAGACACAGTGTTATGAAACTGTCTCTGATTAACCTAATATTTGCGTTTTCAAAATGTTAACTCATGTTAAAATATTCTGAAATAATTAATGAAGCTATTTACTTTATTACTTTAATTCATAATGTATATTGTTGTATTGATTATTTATAATACACATATGATAATAATAATTATTATTATTAATATTATTATTTTACAATTGTATAATTATTATATTTATAAAATTAGAAAAGAAACATAAATATGAATAACTATAATCAATACTACTACTACTACAAATAGCCCTAATAATAATAATATCAATAATAATAATACATATAATAAATATGATAATAATAAAAATAATTATTATTATTATTGTTTATAATATTATTATTATTATGTAATATTATAATAACTCCTTTACTAGCCCTAATAATAATAATAATGCTAATAATAATTTTGTATTATTATAAAATATTAAATAATTATTTAACTTGCCCATAATAATGATAATAATAATTATTATTATTATTAGTATAGCCTTTATGGTCCTTTAACGATTTATACCGGCCTCCCAATCTCGTTTAGTCGGTATTCACGGAAATGAAGACTGGATACCCTTCATTGAAATTATTGCAACAACAAAGCTAACATCCTTAAACATACACTCCCCGACCCTTGTACCGAAAAGTCGGAGGGAAGGGGGCGAGTCCTACCGCTGATCCCTATAGCATCCACAGGAAGATTTCCTTGACAGTACGTCAAGAAACTCGAGAGACAGAGCGCGTCCACTTCCGGTTTGGCAGAGAGCTGGAAAAATAGCAACGGCAGAGGAGCACAGCTGGGGAAGGAGGAGGCCAGGCTGGAGCTAAAGCGAGTCGCTGTGCAGAGGAATGGGCGACGTTTGATCGGAGAAGGTGAGACGCGACTTTATTAACGGCGCATTATATCTGCTCAGACGTCACCGTTGGTTTATTTGGCGCAGTTCTATCGGACGCATCTAAATACATGCCTCTAACCGGCTAACTTGTTAGCATTCCGTGACAGCTTTGGTGCGAGCTAGCATGGCAGCAACTCGGCTGTCGCAAATGTAAGGAGGGAGAGTTCGCATGCAGCGCTGGGCAAATTAAACGGTCACGGGCCGTTTTACACCGTTCGATAGCTGTTCAACGAAGCTTACGTGTTTATTTTCCCTTCAGATGCAGTCAGTTAACTGCCAACCTCCACATTCCGCATTCCCCTCAATCACAAGCAAGAGGGCCACTTTCACACCCTGAATTTGTTTTAGACAAGTAAAACTTTTGATCACAGCCGTAGAAGTGATGCAAAAGTAACTTACGTTAACTAATTGAATTAAGGTATTAAAAATATCGAAAGTGTAAGACATTGGCTGTCACAGAAACCAGCGAGCTGCCTAACGTTACCTAGACCGTTTTCTAGATGCGTTTGAACGTGCCTGTTATGCTTACAAATTCTGTCTAAGTAGGCAGCTCACTTGGTTTTAAAAAACAGTCAGGGACTGATTCAATTCAATTGAGCTGTTACAGATTTATTTGACAAGGTGGTAATGATTTATTTGAAGTTAAAGTGAAACTACATTTAATTGGCTTAGTATCTAAACCATGATTCATGTATTAAATTCGTAACAGTATTGGATGCAGTTTACTGTCTTTAAGCCAAGGGTTAAGTTTGGGTCTGAGTTAGTTTCGTTTTTGTTAAATGGTTAGTTCACTCAAAATGAAAATGAAAATTAATGTGAATGGTGTCCCTAACTTAAATTCTGCCTGTCATTTTTGGGTGAATTGACCCTTTAAATTAGACATAATGTCATAATGTATGCAACTATAAGATAACTTTAAAATATTTTACTTTTTTTAAATGTACAGGACAGTAAAGTGTGAGTGTTTCAGGTGAATGTCAAAAACATAGTTTCACTTTAATAGGTTGTTCATGTGGCATACAAATTCCTTGTCGTTAATGTGTTTTAAATCTTTTTGTTAGAGATGAGTAGTTCTGTTTGTACTGTCCATCATTTTGGACTTTTATCATAAGACTTGGAGTAAAGCCATACACCACAAAATATATAACGGGTTTAAAGGGCAGGACAAATAGGGTTGTTCAACTCAGCTGGTAGTTCACATGTACAGCAATGATCCGTGAGTTATTTGATTGGTTACTTTGCTGTTAACAAGAGTAAAAGAACATGTATCTTTTATTTACCTTTCAACATTTAAGTTTTTTTTGCACTAGCTTTTGCAATACTGGTAATATTGTTGGTTTCTGTGTGATAAATTGCTTTCGTTTTTCTATCATTTGCAAGTCATTTTGGATAAAAGCAGCTGCTAACTGTATTTGGAAAATGCAGGCTAATAGGTAAAATGGACAGCCTGACAAACAAATTGCAAGAATAATATAGTGCAACAGTTGGGCTCCGGAAGTAAAAATCCCATTTAGGGGAACTGATTTTTAACAATTTTTACCATTTCACACAGAATGAGTTTTTGCTGTTAAAAACATGAGATGCAGATCAGTGGAACGGAACAGTTCTGAACATTCTTGCCTCGTCACGCTGCTGGTGTTTTTAAAAAACGTGGCGCTTCCATTGACACCCCCCATACCTTTTTGATAAAGGTATACGTTCAATGATGTTGAAATTAGCCTCTGGCATATGTTCAAGGTGATTGTGTGCCTGAAGAATTTATTTATTTGAGCAATAGTCTGAAATTGAAAGTACATTTTTTTTGCATTTGCTCATCAGGAAGTTCATAAGAAAGTGTCTTCATTGTGGTTTTCCCCATGTCCTTGTCATCTTAAAAGCCATGTTATGGCATCTCAGGAGTCATAAATGTCCCTCCTAACCACTCAAAATGTTTTCTCAACCAGGCTTGTCTGAACAGACGGAGCAAAACCAATTAAGCTGTGTGCATGAGTAGGCATTATTGTTTTGCACTCGATAAACCTTTCATTTTTGTGGCCATGTCTGCTTAGCTTCAGTATTAGCTGTTAAATGGTTTTGGTTTGTAAATTCTCCTGTTATGGCAGATTTATAGCCCAGAAAAAGAGAAGGATTTTTCTTGTACCTTACACAAGACATCACCTCCGCTGCTCAGGATCTAATGCTCAGGTTTCTGAATCTAATGACATCTGCTGTGAGTATAATACTTGAATGTTTTGGGAACATTGATGAGCAGTTTGTCCCTGAAGCTTGTGGTTCAGTGGGCTTTGGCTGTGTATTCCTTGTCTCTTGGCCAGCTTCAATGGGGATTGACTTGGGAAAGAAGAAAGGATGCCTTTGACCTGCGCACCCGAAGCAAAACAGAATGACTTGGTGGTATTTTTATCCACTCTGATTATGCCTGTTAGATATGCAAAGCCTGGCTGATTTCCCTTGCCAGTTCCTTTATAGCGATTCTTAATTATCCTTTCAAATTTGTGCAGCAGATTCCCTTTGATGTAGCTTTTCTTTTCTTGCCATTAAAATGGCTGGAGTCATGGATGGCGATGGGCGAAGGCACAGAATGGGCCTGGAGTATGTTCTTAATGCACATTGGCCTTTTTATGATCTTTCTCCTGTCACGATCAGGAGCAATACGTTAGTGTTTTAACTGAAGATTCCTTTGGTGTAGCCTCATGCCTGGGAACAGGGATGATACCCAGAGCTTCTGACCCATTTTTCGTTAGCTACCGCTGTGTTGTTGAGCTCTATATCTTGATGTATATCACTAGTAGTCACATATTTCTATAACCTCCACTGTCAAAACATTGCTGTAATGTTATGCTGCTAGCATATCAAGATATGCTGTGTTTACGAGGGTACTCGCCAAGATGGGGATTTTTACATAATTTTGTGTGTTGTCTGTTGAAGTGCAAGATGATATGAAAGATAACTCAATTTGGTACTTGCACACTGTTTGAGAGACGGCCCTGTGACTGCACAAAAATACAGAATTTAGTTCTCTTTTGCGTCCTCTTGCGCTTGAATGTTTAAATCGACACAACTATCACTTTCGTGATGGCGGACCCGATCAGGGCGGTGACAATTCCGTTAACTCTCCTGAGAATATTTCGTGCTGGCTCCGGTCCATTGGGCAGGCCTTATTGTCAAGCCCTGTTGTTGAATCAAAGTGTTGTTGAGAGAAGTCATATTGCTCAGCATTCTCGTGGTAGTTATTGAAAACAGTTCCCCAAAAAGTTTGCAAGCACTTCTGGCAGCTTTTCCGCCCTCTCACGGCCTATCGGTTTCCTCCTGCCAGACTGTGCATGTTAAGCATTTTTGGCAGTACTGGACTAGGTTTTATTTTGCAGAATAGGCTAAAAGCTGCTTATCTTGAAGCAGGCCTTCTGCAGCGTTCATTTGCCAATGCTGATATGGCAGTTTCCACTCTTAACGGCTTGCTCAGTGAACCGGTATAATAAGTTTTCCCAGTTAGCCATGAGTTTTTTTTTTTTTTACTGTTGTTTAGGGATTCTGGGTAGCGTGTGTGTGTAAATATTTCTTCTGTTTACTGATATTTGGGAATTAAATGGGGCTATAGTACAGATTTTGTTGTAATTGTGTTTAAAAAAAGGCTAATTTAGATTAACCTAAGAAAGATGAATTTGGCTGAGATGGTGTTGTAATTTCAATGTCTGATTTGGTCTGCTTAGTTAGTAATACAAATACTTGTAAAATTGCCGTTTTAGAATATTTAACTTGCTGATCCACTAGTTAAGAGATACAATAAGTAACCTATGGTTAGATATGAAGATGTGTCATGGAGTGAACCAAGGCAACTCGATCTCTTCAACTGGAACGGCTCTTTGATGCAAAAAAAAAAAAAAGCTTTGATATGCATATTATTGGCTGTTGCCAAATCTTTTACATGACGTTGGCGTCTTCTCATTTTGATGACCTTTAACAATCAATCTTTTCACCAATCCACCATATAATATGCCCCTACTTGCAATCCAGAGTATAGTGAGGAAGTAGTTTCATGATTTGATTGTTGTCAATGCTCAAGAGCTGTGTTAAAATCCCCCTCAAGTCACCCCGGCCTCAGGACACAAGCCTGAGTGTGAAACCTGCATTGCATCTCGCTGGAGTGTAGCCAAGACACTTGCCCCCTTGGGTCCACCAGATCAACTGAGTATACGTTGTTGGTTTTCAAGTTCAGCTTGGTTTTCATAGAAGTGGGGAAGTGGCACAGCTCCTTTTTGACATGGCTTCCCTCTGTGAACGTTTGAACGTAAAGGAAATAGAATTTAACGTCTACTAGCCTATATGTCTAACATGATTTTCCACATTTTTTTTCACACCCATTTTCTTTCCGGATTTCTTTCTCAATCTGTTTTTATGTAGGCCTACATGTTTAAAAACCGTCAGCATTCAGCAAATATGCATTTATCATGTAAACAATTTTTTTGAATATCTAATAAACGTTTAATTTCACAAACCTTGCAGACTTAGTCGAATCCAGCTGTCAGATATTCTGAAGTGCGCATTTGTAGCCTGCATGAATGTGTTACTCTGTGAGTGACGGTCGGTCCATGTGATTGAATGCGGACAGGAGAGTTCAGCTTCATTGAGACACACGATCGACAAACTTAGTTTAAACCCTTGATTTCAAACTATGCTGCACTATATTCAGTTGCCCACTATGTCATATTTATGACATTTTTACTGTGTGCTGCATGTAAAATTAGTGTTACCTTGTCTCTATTTGAAAAAAATATGATTCCCAGTATGCACAAATTTACCAGATTACTTGAGTGCCCTGCTGGTTACTGTTTACTTCCTTTCCATCTAAAGTAAGTCTGTTTAATTTAGAGATTTATTTTTTGGTTCATTTATACATAATATACAGTATATATTTGACAGTGTTCCTCTTACTTTCTGGTGAGTCCTCCCCCCTCTTTTCTCTTGACCATGGCAGAATGA